TCTCTCTCCTCTCTCCTCCCTCCCTCCCCTTCCCTCCTCTCTCCTCCCTCCCTCCCCTCCTTTTTTCTCTTTATCTCTCTTTCTCTCTCTCTCTCTACCACCCCTTCTCCTACCTTGTGAGGACACAGCAAGAAGGGGAGAAGGCAGTCATCCTCAAACTAGGAAGACAGCCCTCACCAGAAACTGACAATATTGGGCCTTGATCTTGGACTTGTAGCCTCCAGAATTGTAAGAAGATAAATTTAAGCCGTGGACTCTGTTATTTAAGCTATCTAGTGTGTGGTATGTTGTTATGGCAGTCTGAGCAGATAAGACACCCTTTCAACAACAGGGGACAGTGGCTCAGGGTCAGTGTCAGGGTACAGGGGAGAATCCCCGGGGCCCTTGTCAAGCAGGCAGACTCCTAGATCCACCCCTCTGGATTCCAAGCAGGCGCGTCTGAGGATGGGCCTCAAGTCCCCATGATTTTGAGAGAAGGTCTCTGACCACCCTCTGAGCACTGCTGGCCCAGAGGGTCCTCATGGTTCCTTCGGAACCTCACCCACAATCTCAGCGAAGCCCAATGTGAAGTCACGTCACTGTCAGACATCGGTTCACTCTAAGCCATCGTCTTTTTGTCTTGTTTCATATTAAAACATGGCAATGCAGAGATCGGTGGCTGAAAATTTATAAAAGAGAAAAATGAATCTCTGCACACTTCTGGAAAATGGACAAAAGTGCTCTAAGTTACTCAAAAGTTGGGGAAGTGTCCCACTAGAGGGACTAAAAATGACAAACACTAGAAGAAACAGAGACTGAGTGTATCTATTGTAATAGCTACCTATTGCTGCCCAGTAGACTGTCCTCAACCAAGCACCTTTAAACAACAATTTCTGAGCATCAGAATCCAGGAGTAGCTTAGCTGGCTGGTTCTGGCTCAGGGTTTCTCGTAAGGTCTCTCTGCAGCCAGAGCTACAGCCACCTGAAGCTTTGCCTGGCCTGGAGGACCCAGTTCCAAGTGCATACAAGAGGATGCTGGCAGCTTGGAAGGAGGTTTCCATTCCTGGCCAGCTGGGCCTCTTTAAACTCACATGGCAGCTTGCTTCCCAGAATGAGAGATCAGAGATAAAAAAAAAAAAAAAAAAAGCCCAAGATGGGCCTCAGTCTTTCATCATCTAACCTCGGATATGACATACCACCACCACATCTACCATATGCTGTTGGCTACACAGACCCACCCTGATACAGTATGGGAGGGACCCCACAATGTGGCAGGTGGGAATACCAGGAAGCAGGGCTCACTGGGGACCTTTCAGAGGCTGGCTACAACATTCTTCAAAAAAAAAAAAAAATCTTTATTTAGACCAAACTAATATCAGCCAACATGATTTTGGCCCAATGGCCTTCAGCTAGATCACAGACGGTTGTGTGGAACCACCTGAGTGGAGACTTGAATGAAGGCGTATTTCCCTCCTTCCTGTGTGTAGTAGACTGAATAATGACTCCCAAAGATATCCAGGTCCTGATCCCTGGAACCTGTGACTGTACCTTAGGTAGAAAAAGGTTTTGGAGATGTGATTAAGTTAAAGACCTAAAAATGGGGAAATGATTCTGGATTATCCAGGTGGGTCCTCAATGCAATCACAGTGTCCTTATAAAAGAAAGGTAGAGGGAGGTTTGACCCAGAAAAAGGAGTTGACAACGTAACACTGTAGCAAGGCAAGAAGGAGGAAGGAGCTATGAACTAAGGAATGCAAGAAAAATAGCTTTAGAAACTCAGAAAGGCCAGAAAATGTCTTCTCCCCTGGAGCCTCAGGAAGGAGCAGGGTCCTGCTTATGCCTTGAATTTGGCCCAATGACGCTGACATTTTGACCCAGTGAAACTGATTTCACTCTTCTGAATTCCAGAACTGTAAGAGATTGTGTGTGTGTGTGTGTGTGTGTGTGTGTGTGTGTGTGTGTATTTTTGAGACAAGAGTCTCACTCCCTTGCCTAGGCTGGAGTGCAGTGACTTGATCTTGGCTCACTGCAACCTCCACCTCTCGGGTTCAGGCAATTATCCTGCCTCAGCCTACAGTAGCTGGGACTACAGGTATACACCACCATGCCCAACTAATTTTTGTATTTTTAGTAGAGATGGGGTTTCACCATGTTGGCCAGGCTGGTCTCGAACTCCCGGCTTCAAATGATCCACCTGCCTCTGCCTCCCAATGTGCTAGGATTATAGGTGTGAGCCCCCGCACCTTTCCTTGGATGTGTGTGTAGTTGTTACAAGTTTCTGTGGATCCTTGGATGTGTGTATAATTGTTACAGCAACAATAGCAAACTAATACCCGGCATCATATCCATTTGGTACCATCAGGAGAATTTAGAGAAGGAAAGGAATCACACCTCTGGTCCCTGGGCTGTATGTACTAGAGGTTTCAGGCTCACAGATGATGTTGTTAAGGGGAGCAGATACTTTTTGCCAGGCAATGAATTACACTGATTTCCAGCATGCTCAGGTGAGACCTAGTGGAGTCAGACCTCCCCGGGTAGAATCCACCACTCACTGGCCATGTAACCTTGAGCAAATTATGCAACCCATTGTCTCAACTCCAGCTACATATTAGAATCACCTGGAGCACCTCAAATTACACTCACGGCTAGGACCCACTCTAAGAGTTAAAACTTGGACTCAGGAGAGGGGCTTAGGCAGGAAGTACTTTTTATTTTAATTTTGTTTTCAATGGACCTTCAACAGTCAGATCAGAATCAGTACTTATTATTAATAGAAGCCCCCAGATGATTCTGATGTGTAGCCAGCACCAAGCACCACCCCTTACCTCTCTAAGTCTCTGTTTCCTCCTCTAAGATGAAAATCAGCATTAGGCTACCCATCAAGTGGGTGTGATGAGCCTTAAGTAAGGTAATGCTGTAAAGTAATTAGGACATAGTAAACCACCCAACCCTATTCATTGCTGTGACTCACGACTGACTCCCTGTGGGGCGTGCAGTGGTCCTTGCCCCTCTTGGGCCTCAGTATCTCCATCTGTACCTGGAACGTCTTTCAGTGCGTCCTGCTATATCCCCTCTTATGAATAGGGAGATTCAGTAGATCAGTTGCACAGTGACATTTTCAGGTGCATTAAAACCAAGCATTTCAAAGCTTAGGGAGACACAAGACAGTATCTAATCAGAAGTCTGCATCCCTCAGGCTTGGTTTGGGGATTCTAGTGTCACACTCAAAGCAGAGAACAGGCGCCTGGGCCAATGTCACCTTGGTAAGCGTCTGGCTCCCAGCATGCCTTAAGGTTGCAGGAAATTACCTATTTACACGTATTCTGCTCTGACAGGCAGACCAGAATTTTAAAATCCTCCTTCAGGTTTCTCACAGATAAGATGGGGAACTTAGTTTACTATGGACTCCAGGGCTCCCTAAGGTGGCTTTGAGTTTTCAAAAATAATTGCTTTTCCTCTCCTGTGCTCTCCAGCGAGGGTCTTTGGCCGGAGGGAGAAATGGCTTCTTAGCTCGGAAGAGCTTTGGGAATGGAACTCAGGGGCCTCCAAAGAGCAGCATTCGGAAAACAAGCAGGGAGGATCCAGGTTTGGCGAGGCCTGAAGCCTGCGCACTAGGGAGCCCCATGTTCTGTGAAGGAGAGAGCGGTGATGATAAGAAGATAATGATTAAGCCGGTTTGCAAACATTGTTTGGTGAATAAACAGCCCCATTCGGTGCACCAGTCTCTTCATCCCATCAGGAGACAGGTGGAATGCGATCTGAGCTGCCAGCCTTGGTCAGCTGGAGGGTTGTTCCTGCTCCCTCCTGATTCCTCCTCTGTAAGATTGAAAGAACCTTTTATTCCCTAAATAAACACGTCTATTAAAGGCATCGATCTGTCCCCAGCAGGCAGTAATTGCACCTCAAAGGCCACAGATGCAGAGCCTGGGTCCTACTCACCCCTCCTGCCCTGCCCTGCCTAGTCCCCATGCCTGGCCTGGGACAGGCCCTGACCCTCCCTTGGATTCAGGCTCTTCTCCTATACAAAGTCATAATGCTGCTAAATCATATTCTTTCCATCACAGGGATAAACCCCCTCTGGCTTAAGTCATAAATGACAATACAGGATTCATTTGCTGTGGAAAAGCCCTAGTACAGCCATATGGGTAGGTACTTTAATACCAAATGCTCACCTACCAGTTCGTAAGCAGCCCCTATCTGAGCCCCCCAGGTGCCACCTCCACTCTGGCCTCACAGCTCCTGGCCTGGGATCCCCGAACTTCTGCGTGATTCACCATGGCCAACCAGATCACAGGGGTTAGGGTTAGGGTGGGCACAAAAGAATTACAGCCTGGCTTTGTGCTCTGATGTTCTGTTCCTCAGTGTTTCAAATCTCACCCCGGGCCTGGGCTGGGGCCCCTGCACAGGCTCCAGCCCTTCTCAGCCTAGAGGGAGGCTTCTTGAGGAGCCTCTCCCACCCTTTAACAGTAGAATCCAGCCCGGCTTGGGGATGAACAAGAGTGCAGCTGAGAGTGGAGCCATTTCTGAGCCAGTGAGCCCTGATCTGTCCGCCTCTACCTTTTTCTAACAGGTATTTCTGGCCCAAGAAGTTGGGCCTGGGAGGACAGACCTGGCCTGGCCATCCTCCAGACCCTGTGAAGGACTCTTCTGTGACAGGGTGGAGGCCACACTCCCTGGCTCCTGCTCCTGAGTCATTTTCCTTCCCCTTCCTCATGAACCTTTCCAGATCTAGGAAAGCCTGGAGCCACAGGGCCCTTTGGAGCTTCCTCAGGGGGCCCCAGAAGGTGGGGGCCCAGTAAGCAGCTCCCTTTCACCTGGCTTGAGTCTTCGATCTATGCTTGATGCGGATAGGCAGTCTCTTCACCTGGCAGATAATTGGGCCCAGAAGGCACATGATGAGTCAGACAGCCTGGGGTCCAGGTCCCCAGCCGGGGGCTCTGCCCACAGCACCTTGTGCCCTCTCTCCTTTGTGGGTCTCTCCTCACCCTCACACTCATCATCACTCTGTTTCAGAGCGGGAGTATTCCATGGTCCATAATCCATGTGAACAGATGTACAATGGGAAACATCTTTGTTATTCCAACCCTGGGGAATTTCTTTCATCAACCTGCAGCAGAGACCTTAATGAGGCTGCGGTCTACCTGAAAAGGTTGTCCAAACACCGCATGGAGCACCAGGTGAGTAATGACTAAGACTGGATTATGTGTGGGCTCTCGCTATGGACCCTATCCAGACCTGCCCACTCACTCCCTGTGGGATCTGCAGATGTCTTTCCCTTCTCCAGTCCTTCGTTTCCTAATCTGTACAATGGTGATGTTGGGCCAGAAATGCTAAGGACCCCGCCCTACCCCCGATCTGTTCCTGATTCTATAAGGTCGGGCGTGGGGACAGCCATCCTGGAATTCTCTCAGGAAAGGGCTGCTCAGGCAGGGCACAGTGGCTCACACCTGTAATCCCAGCACTTTGGGAGGCTGAGGCGGGTGATTACTTGAGGTCAGGAGTTCGAGACCAGCCTAGCCAACATGGCAAAACCCCTTATCTACTAAAAATACAAAAATTAGCTGGGCGTGGTGGCATGCATCTTTAATCCCAGCTACTCAGGAGGCTGAGGCATGAGAATCACTGGAACCCAGGAGGCAGAGGCTGCAGTGAACCGAGATGGTGCCACTTTACTCCAGCCCGGGTGACAGAGCAAGACTGTCTCAAGAATAAAAAAGAAAGGGGCTGCTTTTCCTCGAGGACTCACTGAGGCACACCTATGGTGGGAGCTTTAGAATCAGATTTGGAGAGGGGACACAGTGCAAAGTCAGTCACCTCCACTAGCTTGCCTAGTGCTTTTATGAGTGTGGCATTCCAAGTCAAGGTTTGCAATTGCAGATGCACCAGTTATCGGTGAATAATTTTCTCTTTCTGGGCCTCAGTGTCCTTATCTATCAAACAAAGCCAGTAATCTTGTCCTCGTAGCAGAGTTCGAGGAATCCGTGGCAGAGCCTCCTAGTTAGCCCCCAGTGTCTGTCCTCCAGCTGAGTCACAGAAATGAAAGCCCCAATATTCTGACCATCCTAATGACTCTATTTCCCAGCATGCCTTGCAGCTAGTTGTACCATGTAAGTAAGTTCTGGCCAATAAGATATAAATGGGATTGTTTGGGGGTGAGTTTTGGGGGGACTTCTTCTAAAGCCACAGGCATAAACGCTTTGCCCTTTTGTCTTCTTCATCCCCACCCCTGTCGTGCCCTATGGAATGTAGATGTGGTAGCTGCCATTTGGGATCATGAAGACAATTTCCCCTGCTAGGGGTGACCAGTGGGAATTAAAAGGGGTACAGTTCCTGGAGCATCGAGCCACCTCCCTCACCTGCTTACCTCTGAGCTGCTTTTACTTTTTTAGAGAAACCAACTCCCTTCTTATGTAAGCCATTGTTATGAAGGTTTCTGTTACTCAGAGCTGAACCTACTTCTCACTCACTGCCATGGGATCTGAGAAAATCAAATGGTTCTCATTGAACCAAGTCATCCTTCTGTCTGAAAGTCCCTCTGATAGTGACAGGAGGCATCCAAATACCTAGGCGGATAGGGGTGGGTCCCCTGTGAAACCCTACATCCAACCCAAAGACAGTTCAAAGCCTAAAAGCCAAGCTACAAGTTAAATCCTCAGACCGGATTGAGACCCTGTCTTCCCATTTGGCGCATTTTCCTCTGATTGATCACATCCTTCACCTATTTTACACAAGCCTACCCTTTCCTAATTGGTTTTCTATGCTGTTGTGCCCACCTTTGAGTGGTGTCTTCACTTTAACCTTTTTTGCATATTCACAAACCAATTAGCATGCATTCCCCATTCTGAGTTCATAAAAAGCCACAGACTCAGTTACACTGAGAGAGAAACCACCCAGCTGCAGGGCTGGGGGACCAATCCCCACATCCCCTCTCCACTGACAGCTGTTCCATTGCTCAATAAAATTCTCCTCTGCCCATCCCCACCCTTCAATTGTCAGCGTATCCTAATTATTCTTGGATGTGAAACAAGAGCTCAAGAACTGCTGAATGCATGTACGAGCTATAACGCAGGTGGGCTGAGTGGGCAGAGTGCCTCCAGCAGCAGGCCTGGGACCAAGCAAGGCCCGGGCAAGGGGGACATCACAGACCAGAGGTCTGAGCTGGCAAAGTGACTGAGAAACATCCTGCATCACTTCTATGCCTCCTCAAGATACACCCAAACTCCTTAGCAAGGCACTTTAGGCCTTTCATGATCTGCCCATCTTATGGTTCCAGCTTTGGCTCTCACTGACACCCATTCATCCCATCACACCCCAGGCACTGGCAAGGAGGAGCTGCTTACTGCACTCTACAGGGCTCCCTCTCATTTCTGACCTTTGGCACATGCAGCTCTATCTTCCAGAAATGCTGTTTCTCCCCTTGATTCAGCTTTCAAGAATCAGCTCAAGCATCACCTCCTCCAGGAAGCCTCCCTGACCTTCCCAGGCTTTGTTTTGTTGTTCTGTCCCATTTCCTGTTTCTCTGCTCTCTTGGCATCACTGAGTTCTCTTTCTCACACTGTGTGAGGGAAACATGCCAGTCTCCATGTCTGTCTGCCTCCCCTTTCTGTGAGTTGCCTGAGGACAGGTGTGATGTCTTATTCATCTCCACAGTAGCAGGGCCTGGCATAGGCAGGTCAGCAGTAACAGAAGGTGAGTGAAAGAAGGAATGAGTGGCAGGTGCTTGCTGATGTGGACACTGCTGGGCCTGATGAGGGACTGTGCCGGGGAAACTGTCTTTGAACCAGAAAGAACTAGCTAAAGACAGAGAGGCAGAGTGGAAAGCAGGGGTAATCAGCGCTCACTGTGGCTCCCTACTGTGGTCACCTAGGCATCAGCCCTGTGAATCCAAGAAGCCTTTGCGCCCTCCTCGACAGGTCTGCACTTTTGTCATTGATGGCAGGGCAGCATTTCAGGCTCGCTCCATCAGCAAATGTATGAAGATACACTAGGTCCCTGCCAACACGTTGTACTTCAACCATTGCCTGCTAGTGGCCCATAACCGGCCATAAAAGTCGATTTTATGATGGGAAAGTCAAATGGCATGCAGTTCAGCTCCAAAATTTGTGGCCCAAGGACTGCTCCCAGTGAACATTATGTAACAGCTTTACTACAACGTTTTGGGGCTTCGGTCTCCTAGAGGCCCTTGCGTCCTCCTCCTCTTCCCTCTTTTGACAGTGGTGATGACTGAGACCCAGAGGGAGGTGGTGGCTCAAGGTCACACAGATAGGCTGGAACCAGCACCCAGGCTCTGACACCCTGCCAGTGCCCTTTGTACCAACTCTGCCTGGTTTGGTGATTGCTGTTCAATAATTAACCGTGGGCTCTGAGAAAGACATGGACCCCTCAGGCCCGATCATGAGATCACGAAAGGGCAGATTCATTACATAGCCTTTGAGGCCAGAGGACACCTTCTATTGACTTGGTAACATAATCTTTTTTTTTTTATTTTAAACTTTTTATTACTCAAAAATAGAGAGACATTATAATGATCCCCTTTGCGCCAGCAGCTGCCAGCTTAAGTAATTATCAACACCTGCTGTTCTTGGTAACATAACTAGGAATCTTATTTCCTCCTAGGAAACTGGAGGAGACGTACACTACAACCAGAATGATCATTTCAAATTGCACACTGGATCGTGTTAACTTCCCTCCTTCTCCCTCCAGACTCTTTAATAGAAACCTCTGCTCCTGGGATGAAGATGGAGCGGAGCTCCTACTCCAGACCAGACAGCTGTCTCTGGACTTCTTTCAAGTGAGAGAAAAGTACACTTCTGTTTAAGCCACTTTTATTTTCAGTTTTCTCTGATGTCAGTAGTTCTCAAAGCTGGCTACACAGTGGAATCGATGGAGGAGCTTAAATACAAAATGAAACAACAAAACCAGATAACCCAGGACAACACCCAGGGATTCCTAGCAATGTGGAGTGTTGCTCAGGTGTTTCCCAAAGCTTCCAGGTGGTGCTGATGCACAGGCATAGTTGAAAACCACTGTTTCATTATATGCATCCAATCTGACTCTAACTGATACAGGCTCAACTGAAAGGTCGTCTTCTCCCAAGAAGTCCAGGGAGGAACTCAGGGCTGCCTCTTCTGCTTCCACAGAGCTTCGTGCTAATCTTTTTTAAGTGTATCAGGCTGGGCATGATGACTGATGCCTGTAATCCCAGTACTTTGGGAGGCTGAGTCAGGAGGATTGATTGAGCCCAGGAGTTTGAGACCAGCCAGGGCAATATGGTGAGACCCTATCTCTAAGAAAAATTTTAAAATTAGCTGAGTGTGGTGGAGGTCAGAAATTCAAAGTGTTTCCCTGGACTAAAATCAAGGTGTTGGCAGAGATAAGTTTCTTCTAGAGATGGTGGGGGAGAGGCTGGTCCCTTGTCTTTTCCAACTGCTTGCATTTGTTGTCTTATGACGGCATCACCTGACCTCTGCTTCCATCCCCACATCTCTCTCTGACTCCTGTTTCCTTTTGATAAGGACCCTTGTGATTATATTAGGCCTCCTAGCTATACAATCTAGAATAATCTCCCACCTCCAGATCATTAGCTGCAATAACCCCCTTTGCAATGTAAGGTAATATCTTCACAGGTACCAGGTGTTAGGACACTGGCGTCTTTAGGGGACATTATTCTGCCTACCACAATCAGTGAACATAGGGTGAAGCAATAGGGAGTGGTGAGGCCTGTGGCAAACTGGAAAATGAAAGCCCTACCTAAAGGGGGCAGCTACTACTTGCATCTCTAGTTGACCCACTGTTTCATATCCATGTGCAGACCTAATGGTACTAAGTCTTCCAATGTTTCAAGAAAAGCTAGAAATGTACATTTTAATGTCAAATATCTCAAATTTTAAGCATTAGAAAGCATAAAAAGAAAAAAACCCACAACTCTGCTGGGGCCAAATAGAACATATATGCTGGCTTGAGAGACTTGGGCTACCAGTTTGCGGTGTCTAGTCTGGAGCTTCTTCCTCCCTAGGACAGTTAAGGCAGCATTAATTTATTTTGTGCTGCTTGTCACCTTATCAGTGGGAGAAGAGACAGGCAGATGTGAAGCGTGGGCTCTCTCTCAGGCCCCAGGGTAGGGTTGATATATCCCTTCCATTTGTCACCCACGTTCCTTCCTTGACCTCTACCCAAA